ACAACACAGGTCAGCATATTCCTGAATCAAGTACTGGGAGTTCGGGTACGGCCGAAGACCAAAAATTGAGCAAGTAAGTCTGTAAAAACAACCCCAACCGTCGAAACTCTCGGCCCTATGGAGCTGGATTCCTCTCGAACAGCCGAGAACAACCCAGATCTTCCAAAACCCCTTAATTAAGGAATATGCCCTTGGGTATAATCCTCAACTAAGCTGTTTTGGAAGATCTGGGACCTAGGGTGGCCCGCGTGCCTCAATGCCAGGTTTAGGGTTTAGGGAAGAACTTCCAAGCCCAAGTATGCCACATGTCTGGGAACCCTCACCCTTAGACTCACAATAGCCCCCAAAAACCTGGTTTCAGGAGGCCTTTTGGCTCAAAAACCCTAAAAACAGAGGCCTTAGAGCCTTAGAGACTTAGGGTAAATCCCCCCCCCCCGCCGCCCAGATAAACCGTAAACCCTACACCCTAAATGGCAAAAAGATGATTCGTGGTCCACGCGCCTCGGCACCCCAGTGGGCCACCTGCGCTGAAGGGCTTAGGGTTTAGGGTTTAGGACTCAAGGGTTTTGGGGGACGTATTTAGCTATTCTGGGGATGTGGGGGGAGTGAGTTGAAAATATTGCGGGGCGCATAATAGTGGCCTGCAGATGATCGTAGAGCCCCGCCCCAAGCCTAGTGATTTGCCCCTCCCTCACCCCGGGGCCGAGGCGTGCTCGAGGCCCGGTGGCAACCGCCCACGTGTACCTGAGAGGAAAAAGGATGCGAACGGATGCGAACTTATCACGTACGCGGGACTTGTGGGAGTTCTCAGAGCCCTCTTATATGGGAAGCAAAGAGTGAGAAACCAGATTAAAGTTTTTTGGGGTTGGTTCCTTATAAGGGAACCTAGAAACCCCTCAAGAGGACCCCCCCTAACAATTGGGGTCATAAACCCTACACCCCATAGCCTGGCAGGTGTACGAGACCCAAGAGCTCGTCACCTTCCTCGCCCTGCGCAAGCGATGGTTCGCAAGCAGGGTATCAGTAGCAGTGTGGCAGGAGGGAGCGCCATCTGCTGCAGTCCTGCGCTGACGCTTCAGGCTTTCGCGGGGCTTCTGGAGCTTCGGGAGCCGCCGCTGTCTCTGTGACCATCACCACGTCCTTGACGGATCTCAGAATGTCGTGCGAAGCCCTGCTTCGCCCATCTTCGCCCCCTCCCTACCTCTTTTAAACCCTGAGATAGCCCGCCAGCTCTTCCTGAATTTAAAGCGCCCTTCGAACCTTCTCGGGGTCCTCATCAGACTTGTCTGAGGGTCCGCAGCGATCACCTCTTTCGGCTCCAATCCAGAAGGTCAGAAATGGCATGTGAGAAACCGCAAAACACTGCTTCGAACAGAGCGCGAGGATGGCAGCGTCAAAGGGAACTCCCCTGCCTCCTGCGGCTCAGGCTCAGCGACCACGGAGACCACAGGGACCTCAGCCGCCTTCGCTTGGGCAGCTTCAGCCACGGGAGCCGCTGGAACCGCGGGAGCCGCTGGAACCGCTGGAGCGGCTTTGACCGCCACCTGGGGACATGACAGGTTTGGGGGGGGGCATTGTCGGAAAAGTACTGGCAAAGCACAAGCAAATCTGCGGGGCACCGCCGGCTCATCCTCGACCACCCCCGTCCTCGAGCGACTTCTGGAACACGCAGTGCAATCAAGCGGGGAGATGGCAGAAAACGAAAGGTCTGATGCGACCCAGCTGCTGATGCTGACGGTCATCTTCCGCGCCCACCTGTGTGGTGTCGAAGCAAGTTTTGCATTTGCATTCGGGCATCAAGAACGATATCGGACTCCCCCGGTCATCGAGCTTGATTTTTATGGGAACACTGCTCTACTCACATGCCCTTCACAAACCGTTTCACCTTTGGCTTAGACATGTTGCGTCTGCAGTCTCGCAAGACACGAACGCTGGCAAGCGCGTGCGATCACCGCTGGAAATGTAAAACACTTGACTTGAGATCGGGGCCACGAAAGCCAGAAACGCGGCTGACAAGCAAGCTTTTTCGAGTCAGGCAGGAGAAGTGCGGGCGCAGCAGCGCAGCCGAGCACTGCCGAATCGGGACACGCAGCGGTCACACGAAGAGCTGTCGGAAGCTGCGGATTCGAATGCTCATCCCGGGGCCTTACAGCTCGACAGCAGGGCCTGACCAAGACGGAGGGGGGGGGCCTGAAAGGGGGGGGGGGGGGGCCCCTCCCCAGAAATCAATTAAGGCGACTCTGAAAGGATGGCGTGCCTGTGCCTGTGGCCTGGGCAACAAAAGTCCCGCCAACGCAGGTGGACGGGGACTTTTGACTAAGCGTCGGGCGCTTTGCGGATGTATGGATCTGATCCGCGGCGATCAATGCGACCGAGACCCTCTTCCATGAATATGCTTCAGCAACCCGCACCTTCAACCTTCAAATCTGGCCTCTGCGTGTCCGACCCGCACCTCTCAACCCGGCTTCCCAGGGCTCCGAAGGCCCCAACTCGTGACGGCGCAAGCACACATGACCCTTCACTCTTCCGTTTGTGCATCCAGAAAATGTGCCCAGACACAAATTGGCGAATGAGTTAGATGGGGGAAGGGGGGGGAAGGAAGGGAGGGGGGGAAGGAGGGGGAAGGAAGGGAGGGGGGGAAGGAGGGGGGGCAAGGGGGCAAGGGGGGGGGGGGGGGCGGCGCTTGCATTTTTTACATCATCTCACACCTGTTTGCCGTTTGTTCTGCACCGGCATCCCATGGCCTTGTGCAGAGTGCAGTTCTTTTGGTTCACCCACAGGGAAATGTACTGTCCGTCCTCCCATGAGGGCTGCAAGGGCCCCTGGATTTCACGAGCAGCTTCACAACTTACAAGCAACCGAAGATATCACAAGTACGCACAGATGCGCACATAGGACGCCCATGCCGCGGAGTCCTCATCCTTCTCGCAAGTCCGCACCTGCACCATCGCAGGGTTACGATCTCCAAAGGACCTGAGCTCGTGTCGGGACAGGGCGACGGCGCCTCTCCACAGCTGTAAATTGCCAGGTTGCCGACGTCACCAAGCATTTCCTTGGGGTCAGCATCCCCTCGAAAGCTACGGCGTATTCACTCAGAATCGGCTGCAGCATGATGGCGGTCAGTGAGGAGTGCGGACCAGCATCATTCCGTTGTACTGCTCACGCTTGCCCTTCAAACCAGAAAGATGGACCCAGCTGACACCCAGGTGGAACTTGCCTCGGTTCAGCACCAGATGTGTCGGCTCACGAGCGAACCGCAGCTGCGGCACCTTCGTCGAGGTGGTGGTCCAGCTGCAGAGCCTACCGTGAAAATCACCCCCCATACACGGGCTCCACTGTTTTCAAGATACTTGTGAGGCATGTTAAGGCACAACTGCGAAAAGGCACAACGCTGCCTTGGCACGCGCGGCATTATGAAAAAGCGCTCCATGTCGTGACAAAAGGCACAACACTGAATGTCACACGCCAAGTCCACGCAGGTTCGAGGCAAGCAGTCAGGAATGCGAAGCTTTGTGGCGTGCCTGTGCCTGTGGCCTGGGCAACGGAAGTCCCGCCAACGCAGGTGGAAGACCCTCTTCCATGAATATGCTTCAGCAGCCCGCACCTTCAACCTTCAAATCTGGCCTCTGCGTGTCTAAGAGCTCATTTTAAGGGCTCAAACCCCCGCCGCCCAGCCCGCTCCCCCCGCCCACCCGCCAACCCTTCAACGCCAGCCCGCCCGGCCCACCCCCCCCGCTCCCCTCGCCCTCCCCAACCAATGCCCAAACCTTGCCACCCGCCCGTTTTAAGAGCTCATTTTAAGGACTCCAACGCATGCCCAAACCAAAAGATCCAACGCATGCCCAAAGAGCTCATATGTAAGGGCTCCGACGCATGCCCAAGCCCCTGCCGCCCAGCCCTCTCCCCCCGTCCACCCGCCCAGCCCGCTCACGCTCCCCGCGCCCTCCCCAAGGGCTCCAACGCATGCCCAAACCAAAGGGCTCCCGTGAAAGGGCTCCAATCAACTGGCTCTAAGAGCATGTTTCAAGGGCTCCAATGCATGCCCAAACCCCCGCCCCCCAGCCCGCCCAGCCTGCTCCCCCCGCCCACCCCCTCCAATGTCGCCCACCCGCCCAGCCCGCCGCTCCCGCTCCCCGTGCCCTTCCCTTAACTTTGAAGGCTCCAATGCATGGCTCCAATGTAAGGGCTCCAATCAACTCGTTTTAAGAGCATGTCCCCGGCGCCCAGCCCACTCCCCCCGCTCACCCACCCAGCCCCTCCCGCTCCCCGCGCCCTCCTCTTGTTTTAAGGGCTCCTCTGCATGCCCAAACCAAAAAGCTCTAATGTAAGGCTCCACTCGTTTTCAGAGCATGTTTTGAGGCAAGGATAAGCAGGGGCACTGCAGCACCTTCCAGAATTCTAAAGCGCACCACGTCCTGGGACCTTGTAGTACTTCGCAGAGTACTTCACAGACCTAATCTACTTACCTAATCTGACATAATCGAACATGTTTGATCCCATGGCCTTGTCGGTGGCCACATCGGGCCCTGGAGGTTCGAGGTTTGGATGGGTAAGTAGGGCTTAGGGTTTAGGATGTAGAGTCTCACTACTGGCATTAGGGGTAGTAGTGGTTTTGCTTTCGGGTGTGAGGACTTCTTGTACCTTCTGAAGGTCTACAGGGTTGAGGATCCCTAAACGCTGAACCCTACGCCACCACGGACCATGAGGCCTTCGGATGCTACCAAATTCAGCCTCACATGAGTCCGCCCCTTACACCCCTCTAGAGCCTCTATCCCTAGACCCCAAACCGTATGAGTCCTATGGACCCGAAAGTCTGTGAGCTCCAGACCTTGGAAACCTGAACCCCAAATCCTAAACCCCAAAGACCCAAACCAAGAAGCTCACTCAGAAGCCAGATCTTTTCAGAATCCCCCGGCCTGGGCCGTCGCAAAAATGCGGCACTTCCGGCATGGCTACGAAAGCGCGAGACGAAGGCCGGCAGATGTTGTGCTAGACAGACTTCAGCAGCAGCGGTACATGAGATCCGAAACCCCTTGCCACATGTCAATGTCTCTGGCAGAAATCATCTGCTGCTCTGCTTCTGCATAGCTTCGTCCAGGATCGTCATCAGCTCGCCAAAGGAGCTGGAGGTCACTGAACAATGCCTTTGGGTCCACAAATGGTTGCCGACTAAGCAGGACTCTGACCAGCAGGGACACCCACCTCTGGCGCTGAGGCTTCTCCAGTCTACGCACGACATTCTCAAGATGGCGTGAGCACATTCTTACCTCTGTCCAAACCTCTTGGCTGATTTCGGTGGACTCTTGCAGGACACTCTCCATCAGGCCAAGCATGGCTTCCGCAATCAGTTGCTGCACGCAAGGCAGACCACCCCTCCCATAGCTGCGAACAATATAGTGCGCAGCTTTCCTCACAGCTGCATCCACGTCGCCGCAGCGCTCTAGCAGGTCTCGAAGGTTCGCGACGACGATGCGGCGGGCATCCCTTTCTGCGAAATGGGTCTTTCTGGCACATGCCAGCTTCATACACCACCACCGACCTGGGATTGAGACTGCAAAAGAACCGATAACGTTCCGTGAACAGACAGAGCCTTTCCGGGGAGCATGCTAAATACGTCAGATCAAGAGGCACTCAAAGTACTTCATCTGCTCGACATCATTTCCGCAGGCATCGGCATTGAAGGCTGCAGGGTCTGCCATAGCAGATTCCCATCTTGCAGAAAAATCGAGAATCGACTCGGACCTGCGAAGCGGAAGCCGCACGCGTGTTCCCATGACGTTTGCGCAGACGATGCCCGTGGACCCAGCCGCGCCTATCCAACCTACCCATGTCCTCCAGGTGCCTTATCAACACCTTAGGCTGCAGAATGCGCACATTCTCGCCTCCCCGAGAGCAGCGTCTCACTACATTGCACCTTCCAATGTGGAGGGAAGCAAGCGGGCAAAGCTCCCCGCCCTAGGACTCGTGGCCTGCCGTGATGTCAGGCGACACTGCATGATGTCATCCACCTCGGCACACATGCAGACACGCCTTCTGGAGCGAAACTCCCCTTTGCAGCGCTTTCAGGCCAGTACACATCACTGCACACCACCAATTTCGCAGGCTAGGCACGGTAAGGTACTGCAACAGATTGGGCCTCGAATGGTAGCCGGCTTTGTGCAGAGCTCATCGTTTGTTCCCTTGCGATTGATGGAGGCCAAGATAGGCCAAGTTACACAGAAAATGACGGGTCTGGCAGGTCCAGAAATACGTCGTCCATGGCGCTGCAAGACCTCGTCCGAGACTTTGCAGACCTGAGCTGCACCTCTCCCCCTGACGACAAGAAAGTGAAGCTGGAGGGACTTGTAGCTGCCCGTCGTGACCCGTAAGGAACACGTAGGAATCTTTGAGTAGCATGCAAAGTCTAATTAGTCTAAGGGTGGGAAAGAGACGGGAAGATGCAAGAAGATTCTGTCTGCAGAGGAAAGCACGGCATGTCTTCATTCTTCCCAGCGGACGTCGGCACCGACCTCAGGCCAAGCAATCGAAGCATGCCGAAGGGGCGTCAAGAAAGAAGCTATGCCGTGATCCCCAAAAAGCAAAGGGCCCAGGGCCGTGGGAGACCAAAACTTGCATTCTCTAGCCCTGAGAGCCGCGCTTCTCGTTCCCGGCATCAAAGCTCTTCACAGAAAAGGGCAGCACATTAAGCACTTGTGGAAGATCCGCCTGACACCAGCGGATGCTTCACGGGGCTTCAGAGACCCTGCGCTGCCGAACCAGTCCTCGCCAGCCGCGTCCAAGCAGAAAGGCGCGGCTGACGTTGGGCACCACCTGAGTTGCCGCCAACACGTGACTGCAGCCGCACACCTGGTTGGTGGCACTGCTTAGCCAGCCTACTCTACTTGCAGCCGGCTGGCTTCTCTTTCAACCTCGTCTCGGCCAACTGAAGCTTGCTCTGCAGGGCGGCATTGAGGTCTACGGCCTCTTTGAGGTGCCGCTTCGTGTCTTGGCACCTGGGTTCCCAGTATTCCCAGGAGGTTGCGACAGAGCTGCCCCTGGCCCGCACCTGTGTGGAGGGGCTGACCCTGAAAGGAGGGAGGATTTGAAGCTGAGACGCTCCTGTAGCTTGCAGCTGCTGTCGTGGTACCTTGGTCTCAGTCGCTTGCAGGATCCGAGCAACGAGCGGAGTTGCCACAGCCGAGCGGCTCCCCGCGTAGGTGGTCGTTCTCAGACAGCAGCAGGTCGATCTGGCACTTGCTGCGCTGGCACCTTGGCTTCGGCTACATTGAAGACCACAAAAGCCAATGCGGATGACCCACGCCGCCCTGAGCATGTCTGAGCAGAGTGGCTCCGTGCGCAGGAGGTCATTCGCAGACCGCATCTCTGCCATCTCCGTCTCCAACTCTCCCAGCTTGGCAGCGCACCTCGCTCGCGCATGAGCAGATCCCACATGCGTGCAAGTGCACTGCGAGCAGCACTGCATGTGGCCCGGACTTGCTGAGCTCTGTCTGCAGCTGAACGATGTGGCCATCGGGCAGGCAGGTGCTGGCGTCGCTGTTGGCGGTGGCGACGCTCTCGTTGCTCGCGTTGCTCTCGGTGGTCGCGTTGCTCGCGCTGCTCTCGTTGCTCTCGTCGCTCTCGTCGCTCTCGTAGCTGCTGGCACTGACGCTGCTAAGGCGTTTTTTGCGCCTTGGGTCACGACCGGCATCAAGCTCAGACAGGACCCAGGAAGCAGCGGGGCGTTCAAGCAACATGATTGCCATGTGCGGCCCGGGGCACTCCCCTCCTTTCTGATCTTGCGCCGCCTCTTCTGCAAGGCCGAAGCTCACCGGCCTCCAAATGGCCGGCGCGAAGAGTGCACGTCAACAAGCAACAGCAGCGTGTCTGCATGGACGAAGTAGCATTGTAACATGGCCAACATGCGGCCGAAGGAGCGGCTGGGCACCGCAGCCGTCCTTCTCAATCTCCCTGAGGGTCATCCTCAGCGATTACGTTACCGCATCGTTGCCAAACGCATGCTGATGCACATGGCCGCCGCGACTGCTACGAGCACGTGAGTGTATGCTCTGCACACGGTTGAGAATGCAAGGCGCATTGGAGCCCTGTTAGGTCTGCTAGGTCTGCTGAGCGGCTTTTCCACAAGGGGCTTGCTCGTCGTCGGGCTCTTTCGCCTCCAGCGCGGGGCCTCGCACCTTGACTGCTGGGCCCCGTGGCAGCCGCGACTTCAGGCTTGGACTTTTGCATGGGTCTGCACGCCTAAACACGAAATGTCTGATTGGCTGCCGGCCTCTCGATGCCGGGATGACGCTGGGGCCGCCTTGGCCGGGCCATGGCTGGTGAAATGGAGCCTCGCTGGCTCCCGAAATGTGCTCAGAGCTCCTCAGGGGCTTACATAGACGTGGCTATATATCAGGGAAATATTTGGACTTGTCGAAGCAGCCTCCTGCAAAGAGCCGCCTCAAATCTGGCCGGGATGCATTTGGGATGTATTTGCACGAACGACTTTTGCGTCATAAGCATTGCGCTGCATTGTTGTCGTTGCAGTTGCATGTAATCTGTCCATGTGATGCGCACAAGGCAAGCACAAGGCAAGATGCTTGAGTGACCCGACCATGGTCGAAGGTGCTGTTCCGACAGTGACCACAAAACACGTTCGTGTCTTCCCAGGCAAGCGTTCGGTCCTTCTTTCCCGGTGTTTTTTTTATGTTTTTTTCATGGCACTTTGGAAGTGGCGCTCTTGGCACCCTTGCCCTCGGAATCCAAGACCCACAGCGGGCTCTTAAGCAAAGCTTCACACGCTTCGATGCATCGACTCGCGACTTGAAGTTGCTTAGTGGAACGAGCGCGACACCGAGCGCAGCTCCTGGTAAGCCGAGTGGGCACAGTGCACATAACAATGCATCGTTGAAAAGCAGCAGCCTCGCGCTGAAAGCGCTTACAGGCATCCCTCATGCGATAGAACGCTAGAGAATGCTGCTATATGCTCTTTTTTTTTCGGGGGGAAGTCGAAATGTGGATGGTTCCGGAGCCCCGTACGAGTAGACAGTGCGCTGGCATCATCTTTTAGCCTTGAACATAACTCTGTTTCTCGGGACCCCCACGACGTCCCAGATCTCTGCGTGTTCTAGTTTTTTTTTTTCAGTTTCCTGCCTGGGCTTCAGCATGTTTCGCCGTGGGCAGGATTTCTGTGGACCAGCTTCTGGCTGGGTGGCGCATCTAAGGCGATCCGCCAGTCTAAGGTGCACGCGGCATGTCCTTGAGGCTAGCTCAGACACAGGCCGCGCAGGGTTTAGGGCTTCCCACCCAGCTTCTCAAGCAAAGGATGTCAAACGTGTGGATCCAGCTCAGCGGCAGGTCCTGTGCTGAAAGCATATACGCCCTTTTTCTATGTCGCGCAGCAAAGCTTCGTCTAGGATCGTCATCAGCTCGCCAAAGGAGCTGGAAGTCACTGAACAATGCGTTCGGGTCCACAAATGGTTGCCGACTAAGCAGGACTCTGACCAGCAAGGACACCCACCTCTGGCGCTGAGGCTTCTCCAGTGCACGCATGACATTCTCAAGATGGCATGAGCACATGCTTACCTCTGTCCAAACCTCCTGGCTGATTTCGGTGGACTCTTGCAGGACATTCTCCGTCAGGCCAAGCATGGCTTCCGCAATCAGTTGCTGTACACAAGGCAGACCACCTCTCCCGTAGTTGAGAACAATATGGTGCGCAGCTTTCCTCACAGATGCATCCACGTCGCCGCAGTGCTCGAACAGGTCTCGAAGGTTTGCAACGACGATGCGGCGGGCATCCCTTTCTGAGAAATGGGTCTTTCTGGCACATGCCAGCGTCATACACCACCACCGACCTGGGATTGAGACTGCAACAGAACCGATGTCGTTCCGTGAACAGACAAGCCTTTCTGGGGAGAATGATTACAACATCAGATCAAGAGGCACTCAAAGTACTTCATCTGCTCGACATCATCTCCGCAGGCATCGGCATCGAAGGCTTCAGGGTCTTCGAGGGCAGAATCCCATCTCGCAGAAAAATCGAGAATCGACTCGGACCTGCGAAGCGGAAGCCACACGCGTGTTCCCATGACGTTTGCGCAGACGATGCCCGTGGACCCATCCGCGCCTATCCAACCTGCCCATTTCCTCCATGTGCCTTATCAACACCTTAGGCTGCAGAATGCGCATTCTCGCCTCCCGAGAGCAGCATCTCATTACATTGCACCTTGCAGTGAAGGGAAGTAAGCGCGCAAAAAAATCCCCGCCCTAGGACTCGTGGCCTGCCGGGATGTCAGGCGACACTCCATGATGTCATCCACCTTGGGGCACGTGCAGACACTCCTTCTGGAGTGAAACTCCCCTCTCAAAAGCTTTCAGGCCAGTACACATCATTGCACACCGCCAATTTCGCAGGCTAGGCGCGGTAAGGTACTGCAACAGATTGGGCCTCGAATGGTAGCCGGCTTTGTGCAGAGCTCATCGCTTGTCCCCTTGCGATTTATGCGAGGTCAGGATAGGCTAAGTAACACAGAGAATGACGGGTCTGGCAGGTCCAGAAATGCGCCATCCATGGCGCCGCAAGACCTGGTCAGAGACTTTGCAGACCTGAGCTGCACCTCTCCCCCCTGACAACAAGAAAGTGATGAAACTAGAGGGACTTGTGAGCTGCCCGTCGTGACCCGTAACGAACGCGTAGGAATCTTTCAGCAGCATGCCAAGTCTAAGGGTGGGAAAGAGACGGGAAGATGCAAGAAGATTCTGTCTGCAGAGCAAAGCACGGCATGTCTTCATTCTTCCCAGCGGGCAGCGACCTGGGAAGAGAGGACTGCACCGACCTTAGGCCAGGCAAACGCAACATGCCGAAGGGCCGTCAAGAAGAAGCTATGCCGTGACCCCAAGAAGCAAAGGGCCCGGGGCCGTGGGAGACTAAAACTTGCATTCTCAAGCCCTGAGAGCCGGGCTTATCGCTCTCTTCATCGTAGCTCTTCACAGCAAAAGGCAGCACATTAAGCACTTGTGGAAGATCCGCCTGACACCCGGTTTAACATGTGTTTGGGGGCTCCCCAGGCAAATGTCTTGTCCCCCTTCGGGCAAGAGCAACTTTACCCCAATCCGGTTCCACATGTTTCTAACCCAAATTCTGTTCCCCCATTGTGCCAAAACAACTTTTACCCCAATCTGGCTTGACATTTGTCTTAGGGCTCCCCAGCCAAAGGTCTTGTCGTCTTTTGGGCAAGAGCAACTTTACCCCAATCCGGTTCGATATGTTTCTAACCCAAATTATTTTCCCCCATTGTGCCAAAAACCACTTTGCCCCACGGTTTGACATGTGTGTTGGGGCTCCTTAGCCAAAGGTCTTTTCCTCCTTCGGCCAAAAGCAGCTTTACCACGACCTGTTTGGACATGTGTCTAACCCAAATTCCGTTCCCCCATTGTGCCAAAAGCAACTTTTACCCCAATCCGGTTTGACATGTGTCTTGAGAAAAAAGCAAGCGGCACACAGATCAAAGCAGCGAAAAGAACATCACAGTTTCGGAATTGACAACTCCATATATGCAAAACCCTTAGCGTGAGGGCGAAGGTTTTGTGTTGGGACTCCTTTTTCTTGTTCCAAAACCTGCCTGGATCCCTGGAGGCCGCGGCACGGGGTGCAGGCCGGGCCGCATGAAGAGCCGGGTATCCCTCGCAGAGGCTCCTTCCTGCAGGCCGTCGTTCACCACCACCACGGACTCTCCACCAAGGCCCCGGCCACCCATACTCAGGCGGCCGCTGTCGTCCGAGCGGAGTCGGATCATGTATTCCCCACCGTTGACGATGAGAAAGTAGCCCTGCCAGCACACGTAAATGGGCCGGCTCAGCAGCTCAATCTCGTCGCTGAAGTCCCCTTCTCCAGGGCCAGTCCTTTGGAACTGATCATCCATGCGGTAGAGCAGCCTTCCGTTTGGGTAGCCCGCACCCATGTTGGCTGCAGGTGGCAGTACGATTGGGTCGTCCTCAGTGACATCGAACACCTCCTTCATAAACCCAATGTGTCTTGGGAAGCCCAACTTCTCCCCGGCACGATGATCATGTTTTCGTTCATGTTTGGTCCAGAATATCTGAAAAACAGCTTGGCATCTCCTCCGCCTTGAAATACTCGATACGCAATCGGCGCAAGCCAGCTTCGAGCCATTGCTTGCTCCGGGTCACGGGCCCAGTAGGTGCCTGATAGCCCACCATCGCCCTCCAACTGCCACAAGCTAAAGGGCTCGCAGCCCCAGTCAGTGACAAAGCAGTTCAAGTAAATTCCTTGGGAGCACTCTGAACGTTGGTTGCCATACGAGCCATCATCGACCCGGTTCTTTCTCATCTGCTGCATGGCCCAGTTTTGAACATCGTACCTGTGCAGGGGGCATCCTTTCTGCATCTCTACGTCAATAGTGGGCCCTCTCCTCATCAGAAACCTAAACCCTGAACCCTAAACCCTAAACCTGCACCAAAGCACACACTTACACCAAGCATCGAGCCTCGTGGCACAACCTTGCCCAGAACAGGCATCGTGGCCCAGAATCATCCGGAAGCCATCATCAGCCTCGATCTCGAAGGTGTCGTAGCCTGCAATCTGCATCACACACACACATATCTATATATATATATACATATATATGTATGTATACATATGCATAATATATATATATAATCATATATATATATATACATATATAATCATATATATATATATATACATATGTATATACATATATATATATATATATATACATACATATATATTGCTACCAAACCTGCCACCCCCCCCCCCCCCCCAAAGATCCACCGTTTTAGAGACTTGCCATAGACAACACAGTTCCTGTAGCATGTTACATCGTTTCTCCTGACGAGACGTACCACCACCTGAAACATCCTGAAAACACAAATATATCAGTAAAGTATCTAAAAAACCTTCTGGCGGGCGTACGTACCCCTTTCACTAGTCTTTCACCCAAAACCACCCTAAACCCTCGCTATATTAAGATATAACAGCACACAACCACCTGAAGCACCCTGAAAAACAAAAATGCAACCGTAAAGTATCTAAAAGAAAACTTCTGGCGGTCTCAGGGAATAGTGAAAAGATATTTGCTCACGTAGTCTCGCGTTCCCGGGAGTTGCAGCAAATGATGATTTTCTTCGCGTCACCGTATGCCTTCTCCATTTTCTGTGTTTGACATACAATGCTTATACCCTATATACATACATGATGTGGGTACTTCTTCGACTTTCTCTTTGCAGCCCTGCAAACATGGGCATAACCCTACGAGATTTGTTTAGGGATTTAAGCCTCAAGCCCTTCAGGGTTGTAAGGTTCTACTCCTACAGATAATGCCTATACCTTAAACCCGAAACCAGTAAACCCCATAGGGTCTAAACCCTATAGGGCTAACCCCGTGACGGTTTTAGAGATAAACCCTGAAAAGACCCTAAACCTTTCAACCCTCTAGGGTTTAATGGTTTACAAACCTAAGGTGCGGGCATGTATACCTTCAGCTCCTATAGGGTTAAAACCTTGATCCTTTTTGGGCCCTATAGGGTTTTAGGGTTCAGACCCTAAAGTGTTTAGGGCTAAGGTTTAAATGCCCAAACCTTAAACCTAAATGGGCTTAGGTTTAAATGCCTAACTCACAGGGTTATGACGTTCTACGACTAGGTACCGCCTAAACCTTAAGCTTATAGGGTTTGAACCCTAACGGGCTAAGCCCGTGAGGGTTTTAGAAATAAACCCTGCCAGAAACTCAAAACCTTTGAGCCCAATAGGCTTTAATGGTTTGCAAACCTAAGGTCTGGGCATGTAGACCTTTAGCGCCTATGGGATTAAGACCTTTGAGCCTTTTTGGGCCATATAGGGTTTTAGGGTTCAGACCCCAAAAGGTTTAAATGCCTCAACCTTAACCCCTAAGGTTTTGTTTAGACTCTATTGGCTTAGGTTTTAAAGCCTATAAATCTTAATTAAACCCTAAACCTTTAAACATTAAACCTATAGGGTTCAACCCTAGACCTTTAAACCTCTTAACCATATAGGATTTAAAAGTTAAGGGTTTGGGTTTAATTGCTTAACCCGAAACAGTTTCGGGTCTTCTCTTTGAAACCCTAAACCCTTAAACCAATTGGTTTTAGAGCATAAGCCCGCAGTGGAGCTGAGGGAATGGGAGGGCGGCAGGGTGTTTAGGGGTCCTGGCTATGTGGAAGATCCCTGGTACCCTCCCCCTTCCCCCACTTCCCCCTGTTTATACGCAAACTTCATGCTTGTAAGCAATGAGTGAGTGAGTCGGTGGTCGCAGTGAATTTGTGGTGGTGTAAATGAGCCAGTGATTCCTAGAGCAAGAGTATGGAGAGGCAATGAGTCCGCGACTCCCAGATTTTAGTACGGAGTGTTGAAGATGGTGGGCTTAGGGGTTTCCTGCATTTAAACTTGCATTAAAAAATCTACGTTAGATACGGGCAGACCCCAGGATGCTCAGGACTCTTGATTCTTGGTTCTTGGTTCCTGGGGCCTGGATGCATTTAAAACTGCATTTAAAAATTTAAATTCAAATGCGGGCAGACCCCAGGAACCAAGAACCAAGAACCAAGATGCGCAGGACTCTTGATTCTTGGTTCTTGGTTCCTGAGGGGTGGTCTGCATTTAAAACTGCATTTAAAAAATTAAGTTAAATGCAGACTACCCCTGGGAACCAAGAACCAAGAACCAAGATGCCCAGGACCCTTGATTCTGGAATCTTGGTTCCTGGGGCTGGGCTGCATTTAAAACTGCATTTAAAAATTTAAGTTCAATGCAGCCCAGCCCCACAGCCACACCACACGGGGGGGGGGGGGGAGGAAGTAAAAAGATCATGACCCTAAAGCCTTGAAGCCTAAACCCGAATACTTTAAAACTAAGCTTTAAACCTCAAGCTGTAAAAGGCTAAGCTCTGAAACCTAACCCTGCGAGCACGAAGGGAGGGGACATGCGACAAACCTCTGGGGCCCTCACCAAACACTACGAGCACCTACGAGCAGGAAGGGAGGGGACCTGCGACAAACCTCTAGAACCCTCACCTGGCCCAAATCTGTGTTTCAAGTGTTGCAAGGCCGGAGTTAGTGAGTTTAGGATTTGCGCCCTTCAAGTTCCTTACTCGCGCCCGCAAAGTTTAAGGGATGTTCATCCCTTCGTGGGACTACAACCATAGTCCTTTGTGGGAAGAGAGTCTTATAAACTCTTTTGACGCGGTTTTTTCGCACAAGAAGAGGGTGGCTTAAACTTTACGGCACGAGTAAAACTGAAGGGCCGAGAGGGGCTGCATAACCCGAAATATAAAACGAAAACCTGTGCTGGTAACCTAATCGTGGCTCCATAACCTGCCTAAAGTTTCAGGTCTGTCTACGAAGGGCAAGAGACCACTAGCAACCGCCCCAAGACGATGAGAGGGGATTCAAAGGGCTTCCACATGGATTCCTTGGAAGTAATATTATGCTACTCCCCGCTGCTTCCAAGGAACCTCCCTCTTTTTGTGTGACAGTTCAAAGAGCTCAATTTAATTGTAAACCCGGACAGTTTTCTCCATGTTTTGGCCTCAGCTGTTCGGTCAAGCGCTTGAACCTGACCAAATAGCTCGCGCCAAAACATGGCGAAAAATGTCCGGGATTAGAGCGTGTTCAATCTAAATGCCTTTCGGGCTCTCCACTACAGAAATCATTTTTAAAGCCCAAAAACCCTAAAGATATAAACCCCAAAAAATTGAAGCGAAAGCAAGGGGCAATCAAACGCCTTGACAGAAAACATGTTTGAAGCCGAAAAACCCCTATGGATGCTAGTTGAAGACGCTCTAAACCACCACAAACCTTTAGGGCCCTCACCAAGCCCTACGAGCACGAAGGGAGGGGACAACCTCTAGGGCCTTCACCAAACCGAAGGGAAGGGGACATGCGACAAACCTCTAGGGCCCTGGCCTGGCCTGAATCTGTGTTTCAAGTTTAACCAGGCCGCAGTTTAGGGTTTAGGGTTTCTTGCAACCCGTTCCCGCACCAGCATACTTCCTTTCCCCCACACAATGGCCAACTAGCAACGAGACGGAATTGCCATTCGTTTTCAACATGTCAATTTACAGGGTTCAGTACCACCCTCTTTTGCGAAACAAGTGTATTCCCCTTCGTGGTACATTTCTTGGCACGGTCTTTCCGCACCAAAAGATGGAGGGACATTTTTGACAAAAGGAGGTTGGTTTAAGGAGAATCGACGGAAGATCGGTCGTTGCAACGAAATGAAGACGAAATGCAAGCAAGAAATTCCGGGCGGAATCATTACAACGAGATGAAGGCGAAACAAACAGAAAAACCAGGCGGGGCCATTGCAACGAAATGAAGACGAAATGAACGGAGAACATCGGAATCGTGGCAACGAAATGAAGACGAAATGAACGCAATAAACTCCCGGCATTGCAGCGAAATAAACACGAAATGAACTTAACCCTACGAGCACGAAGGGAGGGGACCTGCGACAAACCTCTAGGGCCCTCACCTGGCCCAAACCTGTGTTTCGAGTCTTGCTAGGCCGGAGTTAAGGAGTTCAGGATTTGCGTCCTTCAAGTTCCTTACACGTGCCCGCAAAGTTTAAGGGATGTTTATCCCCTTGTGGGCCTACAACCATATTCCTTTGTGGGAAGAAGAGAGTCTTATGGACGCTTTTGACACGGTCTTTTCGCACAAGAAGTGGTTTAAACTTTGCGGGCACGAGTAAGAGATTGCCCTGCCCACAGTTTCGTAAACGCCCCAAGACGATGAGGGGGGATTCAAAGGGCTTCCACATGGGTTCCTCGGAATGCGTTTTGGCGTAATATTTTGATGTTTCCCCACCGCGGTTCCAAGGAACCACCCTCTTGTTGTGCGAAAATGCTCTCTTTTTGTGCGCAAAGACCCGTGTCAAAAACATCTATAAGACTCTCCTCCCACAACGGAAAAAACATCTCAACTTACTTAAACCTGCATCTTTCAAGGGGTTTTGCACGAA